GAGAAGAGAAAAGAAAAATAAGGCAACTAGGCCAGGTGTGGACATATCTTTAGTTCTATCAGGAAGGAGGCACAGACAGGCAGATCTCTATGAGTTCGAGACCAGCATTATCTACATAGTAAGTTCCAGGCCAGTCAGGGCTACATAACCAGATCCTGTCTCAACAAGTAAGAAAGAAGGAGGGGGGTTGGGAGGGATGGAGGGAGGAAGGGAAGAGGTGTGCTGGCTGGTCTCATGTCAATTTGGCACAAGCTAGAGTCATCTGAAAGGAGAGAACTTCAATTGAAAACATACCTCCATAAGATCCAGTTGTAAGGCATTTTCTTTTGCTTCATTTCTTTTCTCTCTGTCTCTCTGTCTCTCTGTCTGTCTCTCTGTCTGTCTCTGTCTCTGTCTCTCTCTTTCTTTCTTTTTTGCTTCTCAAGACAGGGTTTCTCTGTGTATCCCTGGCTGTCCTAGAACCCACTCTGTAGCCCAGGCTGGCCTCAAACTCATAGAGATACGTCTGCCTCTGCCTCCCAAGTGATGGGATTAAAGGTGTGCGCCACAACCCCCAGCTGTAGGGCATTTTCTCAATTACTGACCAATGGGGGAGGGCCCAGCCCATTGTGGGTGGTGCCATCCCTGGGCTGGTGGTCCTGGGTTCTATAAGAAAGCAGGCTGAACAGGCCATGAGGAGCAAGCCAGTAAGCAGCACCCCTCCACGGCCTCTGCATCAGCTCCTGCTCCAGGTTCCTGCCCTGTTTGATCCTGTCTTGACTTCCTTTAATGGTGAACAGTGATGTGTAAGTGTAAATCGAATAAGCCCTTTCCTCCCCACATTGCTTTGGTCATAGTGTTTCATCATAGCAATAGAAACTCTAAGACAGGAAAAGACAACTCATATGAGAGAAAATATCTCAAACTATGTATCTGACAAGATATCTATATCTAAAATACACAAATCTTAGAATTAAAAAATGCACTTTAGGCACTTGAGAGATTGTTCAGTGGTTAAGAACACTGTCTGCTCTTCCGGAGGACCCAGGTTAAACTCCCACCACTCACATGGCAGCTCACAGCTGTCTAGAACTCCAGTTCAAGGGGATCTGACACCGTCATACAGACACAGATGTGGGCAAAATACCAATGCATGTGAACCAAAATGAATACAATTTTTTTAAAAGATCTATTTATTTATTTATTATGTATACAGTGTTTTGTGTGCACATATCCCTGCAAGCCAGAAGATCAGATCTCATTACAGATGGTTGTGAGCCACCATGTGGTTGCTGGGAATTGAACTCTAGACCCTGGGAGAACAAGCAGTTCTCTTAACCTCTGAGCCATCTCTCCAGCCCCAAAATGAATACAATTTTTAAAATGGGTCAAAGATCTAAATATTTTGCCAAGATACACAAATGGCCAAAAGGTGCAGGAAAAACTGCTCAATATCACTGATCATATGGGAAATTCAATCAAAGTCACAGCAGAACTCACTTCCCTACAAAGGTGGTTAGAATAAAAACAGATGACAGCAGGGGAAGCCGCAGGGAAACTGGACCCTTCCAACACCACTGGTAGGAATGTAAGTGTTGTGTAATATTAGTTTGAGATGTCTTCCATTGTTTATGCTGTGGAATATTTGTTTAATGATGCAAAGATGTATTGCAGTTTTTTATGCTGCATTTGTTTAACTCTGTGTAGCTGTGTTACTTTGCCTGTCTAAAACACCTGATGGTCTAATAAAGAGCCGAACGGCCAATAGCTAGGCAGAAGAGAAATAGGTGGGGCTGCCAGGCAGAGAGATTAAATAGGGGGAGAAATCTGGGGAAAAGAGTAAAGAGTGAGAAAAGGAGGAGAGGAAGACACCAGGGGCCAGCCACACAGCCAGCCATGGAGTAAAAAGGAAAGAAAGATATATAGAATAAAGAAAGGTTAAAAAGCCCAGATGCAAAAATGTAGTTAAAGAGAAACAGAATAATATAAGTTAGAAAAGCTGGCTAGAAACAAGCCAAGCTAAGGCCAGGCATTTATAAGTAAGAATACGTCTCCATGAATTTATTTGGGAGCTGGGTGGCAGGCCCCCAAAGAGTCAAAAAACCAACACCACATAAGAAATGTCTGTCTGTTCTTGGGTTAAATAAAGGATTAAAATAGTGCACATGGAAATGACAACACACCAAGATCTGAACATGAAAGTTCACAGTCAAACAGTGAACACGAATATCCCTCAAATAGCTCAGTAATCACGGCAAGGTGCCTTAGCTTATCCACCTGAGCTTGATCCCTGGAACCCATATAAAGGTGGAATAAAGAACCAACGCCACAAACTTGTCCTCTGACCTCCAAACCCAAGCAGCAGACACACCTACAAACATACTGCATGTACGCACACATTAGTAAATAAAACATTTTAAAGATCACTTTAAAAAAAAAAAAAACAATTGGTGTTGGAGAGATAGATAGTTCGGTGGTTTTCCAGAGTTCAGCATCCATGCTGGATAGCTCACAATCTCCTAACTCCAGGTCCAGGGGACCTGACATCTTCTGGTCTCCATCAGTACACATACACAGCATATACAAATAAACATACAGATGTAAGAAAACTCATACAAAAGCTGGTCCGTGGCTCAGTGATGGAATGTTAGCTTAACATGAATGAGGCCTTGGGCTCTGTCTCCAGTCACAAAAACAATAGTAACAATATAAAAAAGATCAGACATACACTTATTATCTCAGTCTTCCTGGGTCAGGAATTGAGTCTGCCTGGCAAGGCAGTTCTTACAAGGTTCTAAGGCAGCTGTAGCCACTCAAGGCTGAATTGAACAAGATGTGTTACTGACACCAAGAAGTGAGCCGCTCCACAGGGCTGCCCTGACATGGCCGCTGGCTTCTTCCCCTCACGACCCTGGGACAGCACACCCCAGACAGAAAGCACCATCTTTTCCTACCCTCCCCTCCCACACACTTTATAATCAGGATGTGTGGGAGAGCCCCGCCCACACTCTTGGGGAGGCCTATGCCAGGACCTCACAGACCTCACAGCATCATTATTAGGAAGAGTCTCTCCTTCACCAAACTCTAGTCGGGCTCTTAACCAGCCCTCCACTTTCACCACTGAACTAGAGTTTAGCAAGAATCTGACTGAGTCAGTTTAGCCAGAATTCCAGCCTTGATAATCTGATTGCCTTCCATATCTAATCAAAGCCTTCATTCCCATCATCCCCCCAGGTGATGTCCTCGGCCTTCCACAGCAGATCCTCTCCATTCTGCTTGGCTAGAGTCCCTCCCTGTGGTCTTCCCTGTCAGTAACCCCCTTCTACTCTCCCCTGCACTGTTA